CCCCTTTTTACCCTTCTTTTGATCTACCTTATACGTGGACACAGGCACCTGCATTGTTTTAATTACATCTGGGTTAAGGGTCCCCTCCACTGGCCATGGTTGGTAAATTTCAGACCAACGCTTATGCCATTTCTCCGATATCTTTGCAATGCCTTTAACTAAAGGATTATTCTTCTGCACTACATCAACAGGTGTGATTACTTTCGAAATTTTAATGTCCTTTGTTGACATTGTAACTACTCCCTTATGTTCCCTTATTGTGAATTACGACTATTTACTAAAATTAAAATTACTTCTCCCTTTCTCTCGGAAACATTAATGTAATTAGCAATTCACTTCAATAAATCCACCTATAATATGGACCAAACACACAAATAATCTGCCTAATTCTAAATAAAATCTCTTCAAATATCCAGCAAATTAAAAATCTAATCCTATATAAAGCTCAAAGTAATCACACACCCACAAGGGACCAGCTATCACCAGATGTGTTCCTATTTGCAACAAGACAATCACCTATTTATCACCCAATGTTCAAACCCCTGCACCTTAAATCATCAAATAGTCACAATATTGAATCCCCCATGCCGCTCAAATCAGAATAAACCATGCACAAACAATAAAACTCATATTTGCCATTCTTAACAGAGTTTGAACCAACTAAGTATGTTGCCTTAATTAATTAAATGCATTGAACAGTCAGTCTGTTGCCAAACCTCTCTTTTTCTCTTAAACTACAGCCCATAGTATCATGTAAACAAATAGTTATACTCTTTAACCCCCAAATAGAGAAATATTCTTGTAATAGCCTATAAATGAAGCAAATTGTATATATATCAACAATAATGACTATAAGTAAGTATACATACATATATTTAAAATGCAGGTATTTGTCAAAAAGAGTTTTGTGGATAAAACACACTGGCCTTAATCAGATTGGAGCCAGATGGGCATGAGGTCAATCCGTGTCAGCACTGGAGCTGCTGGGCTCCCCCCTCTTCTCTTTCTCTCTGTCCCCTCCAATCCTCACACACCATAGGTGGACAAAGGAAAAAACAGATCAGAATCAAGTATCAAATGAACCCACTAGGTATTATGGACCACACAAAAAAAATCCAATATGATTTACGTCCATTATCTGCCCGCTTTTAGGTCATTTTTATCTATAACAAATGTTTTCCTCCTTTAAACACCAAATTATCATCAAAAAAGACATTTCAGTTTATTTCACTCTAATAACACCTCACATACTCATTCAATTTTCTTCACCCACACACACAAACATCCTCACTGGTCTCTCCACTCATCTCCAAATTATAAACGTCCTTCTTGGGGGCTCATGAAGCTTATTATTATCAAGTCCCCTGAATGAGGCTCATGGATACTAATTTATAAAAGTCCTCTTATTCTTTATGAGGCTCATAATACTTAACTTTATCTTAAATCTTAAATCTAACAATGTCCCCCAGGAAAGCTCATGGTATTAACGATATCAGAGAAATGCCCTCTCATAGAGGTTCATATTTTTTTTTTTTTACAAATTATCATTTATATATCCTTAAAGCCAGTGACACAGCTGGAGCACCTCCAAGTCAAGCACCACGCACACACATACACACACACGCATACGGAGAAGCCAGCTCCGCACACACCCAGTAAGGGGGGGGGCAATCCCCCTCACACAGAAGCACACAGCTCTCTCACAGACACAGAAGACAAAGAACAACATTTATCCTATAGCATGCTTTTTCCTGCTGCTCCTTTTTCTCTTTTTCTTCTAAATTTATGCTACCTTTATGAAGTGTGAATATTCAATAAAAAGCTGCTTCAGACGCTGTTTGTCAACTAGTGTTCGAGTGGGAACTTTATAATTGAATTTTCCCTTCCACACCTCCAGTTCCTTAGAACTGACCCAGAAATTCACCTAGTGATTTTCCAGGATTTTAGGCCCGTGTAAAACCGCCTCCCAGAGGGCTTTGGTCCAAATCTGCGGCTCCTTTTCACTTTTAACTCTTATCATCTCTATTCTCTTCCCTTTTCTTATTTCTCTTTTCACTCATATCATCACTATGCTCTTTAACTTCTTTTATTCTCTTTAACTCTTATCCTTTATATTCTTTTTAACTCTTCACGTCTCTTCTCTATTTTCTTTAACTTCTTTTTTTCCAGTAAACTATTTTCCTCTTAATCTAATTCCCCAGGGCCCTGGGCTGTTACTTTTCACTTTTGTCCCTTTTTATTTTCTAACCTGATCCGACTATTTCTCTAAGCCAACTTTCACGCAGTGACTAATATACACATGTCTTACCGTTAAGAAGATAAGGGCCCAACCTTCATTAATCTTGCATGGTGTTAATTAGCTCACTTTATCGTTACTAATTAGGCTATTCTACACTTTTGCATCAGCTTTCCTTTTCACTATTATACTCCCCCCTTTTATTGCAGCGTGCACAACGCAATAAACCCCAATTTAGAACAAAGAAGCACTCCAAACATCAACACAGCATCGCTCCCACACACAGTCCTTACGGTGCAGCTAGACAGCAAACATCCAACAGCCTCAACGAAAAAACCAGCGCTCACCTGAATAGCCGGCCTGGAGCGGGAGTCAGTGCGCTAAGGCTGTCGGCGATGCAGCCAGCCACAACACCTCCGAAGTTTGTGACGCCAAATTCTTGTTGTTTATTTAGTGGCGATGGTGTTTAGATGTTGTGAAGAAAAACTCCGCCGATATTGAGTTGCCAGTAAAAGGTTTATTACATAGTAAAACAGTATCATATCAAGCACTATAGAGTACCTGAGAGAGGATCTGTGCCAATTCTAAATGTCCCCTCCCGAACAGACTGACCAACAGCATATATATATGGTTCTTGTTGTTGAAACAGGAGACAGAGCATATGGTTCTTTTTAAAATGATCTCATCTATTTGGACCTAAGAGAAGAAGGGAGAAAGTGAGAGGCCTACTCCCAATGGGAGCAAAGGGCCCCCAACTCACATTCCTAGCCCCTGCACAAACAGAGCACACAGAGAACTTCAGGCCCCAAATTCATGCTGAAAGTGTTTTTACCTTCTTCTATCAAAATGTTCCTTTCTAAATATACTTCACTTTTAACACATATTTTGCTTCAGCTGGCCACATTTTTGAAAATACAGACTCGAATCTGCAGTTAAATAAAATTGACAACAACTCTACTGCTACACAGAGCCATGGTCTCTTCACACTCCAGCCCTTCTCTCCAATCATAGTAGCTAAATTTCTTACTACTATTAATCCACGAAAAACTACAGGTGAAGATGAGCTGGACCCTTACCTCCTGTGTTTAGCAGCCCCAATTATTTTAGAATACATAACATATATTTTTAATCTCTCTCTTTTATCATGCAGAATTCCCAGGATCTGGAAAATAGCTCATGTAACTCCACTGCATAAAGGAGGTGAGGCAGCAGATGTAAATATCTACAGACCAATCTCAAAATTGTCCTGTTTAGCTAAAATTTTAGAACTTCTAATAAATAGTCAACTTAAATCATTTCTGCACGACAATTCTGTCCTGTTTAACTATCAGTCTGGCTTTAGAGAAAGACACAGCACGATCTCTGCTACCACACTTGTTTTAAATGATCTCTATATGGCCATAGACAGGAAAAAACATTGTGCTGCCATCTTTATTGATTTATCAAATGCGTTTGATACAGTTGATTACACTCTTCTTTTAAGGAACTTACAAAAGATTGGCTTTGATACAAATGCACTAAAATGGACCCAAAATTACCTTTCAGACAGACAACAATGTGTAGCACTGAGTAATTACAAACCAGATTTCTTGAGTATATCCAAAGGAGTACCACAAGGTTCAATTTTGGGTCCAGTTTTATTCAATATATATGTTAATGAACTTGCTGCCTCCGCCTCAGACTGCAAAGTACACCTGTATGCAGATGACACGGTTTTATACTGTTCAGCTGACTCTGTTTATGCTGCAATAAGAAAACTGCAATGCTCATTTAATACTCTACAGGTTGCTTTGTATAAACACAAACTAGTTTTAAATGCTAAAAAAACTAAGTTCATGCTATTTTCCAGATCTACTAATAGTGATTTTAATTCTGTAAATATCACTACCCTGACAGGATCCAACATCGAGAGAGTCACAGAATATAAATACCTTGGCATATGGCTGGATGATGAACTCACTTTTAAACCCCATATTAATAAATTGGTTAGCAAATGTAGGCAGAAGCTCGGTTTTCTATATAGAAATAAATCCTGTTTCCCCGTGTATGCTAGAAAAAGAATTGTTGAGGCAACCTTACTATCTGTCATGGACTACGGTGATGTAATTTACAAACACGCATCTGCCAGCTCCCTCAAACCACTGGACTCAGTCTATCACTCTGCACTGAGGTTCATCACTGCAGACTGTATGAAAAAGTTGGTTGGCCCTCACTAGCTACACGGTGGGAAACACACTGGTTTATTTTTATTCATAAAACACTCTCCGGCCATTTGCCAGAATATATTACTTCAGTGATATCTGTAAATAATGGTATTTATCAGACTCGCTCCCGTGGCTGGATCACATGCCAGGTACCAAGGGTTTTTACTGAACTGGGAAAATCTGCTTTTAGTTACAGTGCACCAGTGAGCTGGAACTCACTACAGGAAACACTAAAGCTCAGCTCGCTGGCATTTGTGATGTCAGACATTGATATTGGATCAGAGGATCTAGCTTGCACATAAGTGTAGGTTTTATAATGAAGTGGCCAGTCAGTATACATACATACATACATACTCACAAATACAAGCAAAATCCTAACATTTTACAATTCTGTTAAAACATAAAACTCATGTTTTAATGAATTGTCAATCTGTATACTTTCTCTGACTTCATGTGATGAAATGGAACAAATACCCCAATAGTTATCTCAGTATTTGGATACTGGCAGCTCTGATAGCTAACTGAGTACTTGACCACACACTATACAAATATGAGACAGATTTCTCTCCCCATACATTTTATTTTTGTTCAGTTACATCTAAGCATTCAGAATTTGGACCAACTTTCATAGCGTGGGTTGTGGGCCTAATATTTACAGAATCCATCATACAGTAGATTAATTATATATCATATCCATATAATCCATATTTACTTGGAGGCAGTTCTTCTGTTTAAGATGTAGCTTGCTGGTAAATGTTTTTATATAAAAATATATATAGGAAAACATTTGAGTCAAATGAAACACCCAAAAATACCAAATCATACATCCTGCAAAACATTTAAACCACTCCATCAATGTATGATGTCAAATTCTGCTACAGATATAAAGTACATTTTAAATTTGTTGTTGAAAAAAATGTTAACCCTATAAAAGTATTAAAGTGAACACAAAATTGTTTCAGTCTGGGAGAAAGTAAATGAAGGAAGACTGTTTTCACTATAATTAATAAATACCCCTTTCCACATTCATTATAGCACATTAACTATTTGGCGACTTATCATTTACACCAACCTTTACAACCTTTACCAACATTTACACACTCAACTATCACTCTTGCACTCGCACGTTAGGGAGCAGGAAGTTCTAAATGTGTATCAAACATACAAATCTGTTTTATCAGGTTACAGAGGCCATGTAAAAAAAAAACAAAACAAAAAAAAAAAGACAAAAACATATGTATCATGGGATGGATCTCTGAACAGCAACAAGTCTGAAACCAGTTGGCCTCTGTGTCTTTTCTAAACATTGAGTGATGAAGCACCAGCTCTCATGATGATGTTCAACTCATCCATGAGCCTCTTAAAAATACAGAGACTTCAGTGAAATGTAAAATTGCAGGACTAGTAAGTGTTTTGGCCAGTAAAGAAAGTTGTTAATGAGGTCTGAATGTAGTGGTAGGTTTGGCTCTGATGTCTCATGTGCGTCGTGTCTTCGGCCTCTTGGTCGGACGCTTGGCCTCATCCGTAGCGAGACTGTCCCCACTGGTCTGGGCCAGGCCGCGGACCCCCTGGATGCGACTGAGCAGCTGAAGGAAGAGTGGGATCACCTGAAGACCACCAAACACACACCATTACTATCCAAGTCATAATATGTAACTGTCTTTGAAGTGATTTATATAAATAATGAACCACTTAATTTTCCTTTTTATAAGCGTTTGTAAAGTTCACAAAAAGGCAGTTTTTACTTTCAAATATATTACAACTGAATACCAGTCCATAGGTACACCTACTTGTTACTAGTTATTATTTCAATATTACAACTCCAACTCAATATTTCATTACATGTATTCTGGTATTTAAGACAGTTACTACAGCAAAATGTGGGTTTTCTTAAGGAAAGATTCTTAAATCGCCTGGACACCGTTTTAATGCACTGATGCACTGATGTTTTTTGCATTTTCTATTGTGTTTTTCTGTAAATACGACGGGGGATAGTGTACATCTAAGCGTGAGTGGTACCATAAATCTAAACATTACAAAGAAACCCTGCCACTTCATTCGATGGTGATGCAAGCTATTCTAAAAAGATGTGGAATAGAAAACAGTACCCTTTCATGGTTATACACTGCCAGTAACAACAGCAAAGTTAAAGGCAGTGCTATGTAAGATCCTTGAGCAACCTCTTGATCAGGCAGTTTTCTCTGCGGAGGAGAAAAGAAAGGTCATTCACAACATACTCTGTACAGAAAGAGTCCAGCTTTTTGTCTGATTACATCTGGGCATCTCACATGTACTTACAACAGGGTTAAAAGAGAGCGTGACGTGTTTATGGTAGCCAGAAGATGTGAAGGAAACCTGAGGGAGTTTAAAGTCATACTGGGAGCGAGAGAGAGTGGTGTCCAGCATCAAAACGTAGCTCTGTGAGAAAAAGACAAATAATAAATGCATATAAAATAGAACAAACAAATTTGTTCCTGAACTGGTGATTAACTCTGAGGTTGGCCTTACCTCTCCATCACGTGGGAGTGGGGAGAAGTGGAAGAAAAGTGACTGGCCCAGAGACACACTTTGGAAAGGACTATCGAGGTTGTCACTTTTGTAGAGCTTGACCTATGGAGAGAGAGCTGTCCATAAAACTGTCCTCAATAGGAGACTGTATGTTACTGTTCTTAACAAGTAGGCTTACCCAGAGAGTTGGCAGATGCTCAGGTGAGGTAATGATGTTGCCACTCAGGTCAAACTGATTGATTTGTCTGAAGGCGATGATGTTGACTCCGTCTATATCACTGCTGCCCACCTAAAACACAAATAAACAAAAAAGATGTAGTCTTTAGTTAAAATAAAGGTTTGAAGGAATGCTATTTTAACGGTCCAAAGTAGCTCCATGATATTCACTGTCTTACACTGTAACCCTGATGTTAACCTCAACTCAAACCCAGTTGAATTTCTGGCTGCTGCTGACTCTTACCTCTATGGTTCTCTGCTGAGGCAGTGCTCTCTCTATGTGGTCATTGCCCTCTCCTCTCAGCTGAATGATGTAAGTACACCCAGGCTGTAGGGAGGGGGGGGAAAATGGACAAAAAAGACCAAATTAACACAATAACAGTGCATGTAATCATAGCTTATAATGTTTATGTGAGCAGGCCACCAACTGTGTCCATAACCAGTCTTACCAGCAAGCCTCGGAGTCTGAAGCGACCTCCCTCATCAGTGACCGTGTCCTCACTGTACATGCTGCACTCCCCCTGCCCCACTGCCTCTACAGCCACGCCTTGCTCAGCATCGCCACCAAGAGACTGCACTGTGCCATAGCAACTGCAAACACAATTTAGATTGAAGTGATACAATAAATGAATGCTGCAACGGTCAATGACCTTAACATTGAGATAGCAGTTAAATTACTTAATCTTTGGTGAGGCTTTTCTGGCATTCTGTACCTGTATGCGGTTTTAAACCCAGTGATGGCGATGCGGAGATTCTGGCCCTCCTCAACTGAGATCATTTGTGCTGAGGGCTCGAAGCGGAACTCCTTCATCATGGGTTTAAAGTAGTACTGACCAGGACTCTGTTGAGTGAGTTTTTAGGTTGTCATTGAGTGAATTAAATAGCAGGGGACATTAGTTTTGCAACCTTTATGTAAAATAGCAGGCAGTGAACAGTCTTTTTACTTTTCCGAAATTGAGGTGAGTGGTAGACACATAAAATATTGCATCACCCCTGGATCAAGTTGTGTGCCTCAGCCAAGGGATTCATGGCACAAGGAGGACATTGGTATTAGCCTAACATCCGTGTAGCTTTTCTGATCCACCAAACCATACAGACTTTCAGTTATTACTGTTACAGGCTAATTGTGTAACAGTGTAAATGTTGACTAATTGTGCCTAAACAAAGCTGAAAATGCTTATTATGGCTTATCGTTAACAGGATACTTCTGCATTACATTTCTAAATAGGCTTTACCAGGTTGTTGAATGTGAGGAGGCCAGTGTCCTGTGTGAGCAGATTGGAGCGGAAATTTCCTCCACTCAAAGACAGAAGCACTCCAGAGAGAGGTAGGCCATCCTCTGCTTTGATCTGAAAATAAAAAGAAAACCATTATGTTACACAAGCACAAGCATTTCTTATTACTGCCATGCAAATATCTTCTTTTCTCCAGGTATTAGTTTAACACTTAAGTAAAGTAACAAAGATAAGATAAAGTGTAACTAGAACTGAGCAAGTACATTACGCCAGTCTGAATATGTTGTTATGTAGACTATACTGCCAAAGTTATTTGCTCATCTGCGTTCACACGCATATGAATTTGAGTGACATCCCATTCTTAATCCATAGGGTTTAATATGATGTCGGCCCCTTTGCAACTATAACAGTTTCAACTCTTCTGGGAAGGCTTTCCACAAAGTTTAGGAGTGTGTTTATGGGAACTTTTGACCATTCTTCCAGAAGCGCATTTGTGAGGTCAGACGCTGATGTTGGATGAGAAGGCCTGGCTCGTAGTCTCCCCTCTAATTAATCCCAAAGGTATTCTATCAGGTTGAGGTCAGGACTCTGTGCAGGCCAGTCAAGTACTTCCACACCAAACTCGCTCATCTATGTCTTTATGGACCTTGCTTTGTGCACTGGTGTGCAGTCATCTTGGAACAGGAAGGTGCTATCCACAAACTGTTCCCACAAAGGGAGCATGAAAATGTCCAAAATTTCTTGGTATGCTGAAGCATTAAGAGTTCCTTTCACTGGAACTAAGGGGCTGAGCCCAACTCCTGAAAAACAACCCCACACCACAATCCCCCCTCCACCAAACTTTACACTTGGCACAATGCAGTCAGACAAGTATCGTTCTCCTGGCAACCGCCAAACGCAGACTCATCCATCGGATTGCCAGACAGAGAAGCATGATTCGTCACTCCAGAGAACGCGTTTCCACTGCTCTAGGGTCCAGTGGCAGTGTGCATTACACCACTGCATTCAATGCTATGCATTGTGCTTGGTGATGTAAGGCTTGGATGCAGCTGCTCGGCCATGGAAACCCATTCCATGAAGCTCTCTACACAGTGTTCTTGAGCTAATCTGAAGGACATACGAAGTTTGGAGGTCTGTAGCAATTGACTCCGCAGAAAGTTGGCGACCTCTGCGCACTATGCGCCTCAGCATCCGCTGACCCCGCTCTGTCATTTTACGTGGCCTACCACTTCGTGGCTGAGTTGCTGTCGTTCCCAATTGCTTCCACTTTGTTATAATACCACTGACAGTTGACTGTGGAATATTTAGTAGCGAGGAAATTTCACGACTGGACTTGTTGCGCAGGTGGCATCCTATCACGGTACCACGCTGGAATTCACTGAGTTCCTGAGAGCGACCCATTCTTTCACAAATGTTTGTAGAAGCAGTCTGCATGCCTAGGTGCTTGGTTTTATACACCTGTGGCCATGGAAGTGATTGGAACACCTGAATGCAATGATTCAGGTGGGCAAATGAATACTTTTGGCAATATAGTGTATGTGTATGTGTTACCTCAAAAGTGACGCCTGCCAAGGCAAACGCCTTGAAATCTCCAGTCTTTTCCTCCACTGGAGTCAGCACAAAGCCCTCTTTACTGGCACTGATGTCATATTGCAGGTCACTGTGCAGAGGTCCAACACTGGGGAAGCAGCACCAAAAGTTAGGAGAATTCTGCATAAAAGCAGTAACATTTGAAAGCAACAAATAATATTAACCCTCAATACACCAGTTTGTGGTTTGATAATCACCTTCATTTAGTCTTCATTTGCAAGGGTCTCATGTTGAAACATTTATTCACCACATTTTCCAAATAGACAATGCGCTGCTAGTGCTGAGTATAACAGTTGTCTTTCAAGCATTTGTTTGTCTCACTATGGGATACGTCCTCTCCCTGTAGGCCTCAGAAGCCATATTGCACTATGCCAGCCCATTGCGTGCCGAACGAATGTGATGTTCTTGCTCTCAACCCTCGTAATATAACGTGATGGCACAACATCCGAGGCCTCGTTAAGATTAGTATGCATAGATTTGATCTTAAAATTTTAAGAGTAAAAATTGTCGAAATTATGTTTAAGTAACTATTTATAAAACTGGATTTTGACATCACAACGTGAATAGATTGACGCAAGTACCAACCTTGTGTACTAACTTTTGGCAGTTAGACCCTGCTACACGATTAGTTAACCCAGCACCAGAATTAAATTCGAGTGGGGGCATCCAGCAGCAGTCAGCTGATTAGCAATTGTTTGCCTTTTTTCTTTCAAAAAATTTGAAAGGCAAATAAGGGGGAGTGACTGCAGACTGCACAGCAAATATTTATTAATTAATTAATTAATCCATGTTGAACAGAACATGCTGCACTATACTCTTTACTCTCCCTCTGAGCATTTATTGATGAAACAATTCATATGCAAATCAGTTGGGTGGAGTTGGAAAGCTTGTTCACGTGTTCATTCTATAACTTTGTGATTTTAAAGCTGCGAGCGTATATTCAAGTGTACGCTTGTTTTCATCGTTCATATGCAAATCTCTAACTGCGAAAACCACAGCCGGGCCAACTGGGTCAAAGTGGAGACCCAGAGCATACGAAGCCCCATGCCTCATGAGGGACAGCTCAATCGTCCCCTCCACCCATGCAGGTGGTGAGGAGAAAGAAGTCAAGTGTCTCAAAACATAAGGTACATCAAACTGGCTCCTCAAAGCCTTGCTATGCTCTCAGAGATTACCGCTGTCAATGTGCAGCCTGCTCATGCACTTGCACTGTAGAGCACCAGTTTACTCACACCGCTACCACAGGAAGGTGCCAGTGCACTGTGGATGCACAGCCCAATAATGTGCGTTATGCTCAATGCTGAAAACAGTACAATTCGGTTATAGACTGAACCATGTTCGAACCAAGAACATCTGGCTGCATATGGACCAAGTATACCCTTTAATAATTTTCCAATGACCAATACATTTCAGCATATTTCTTTCCTCTCAATGTAAACTGGGTGGTCCTAATCTTGGGTACCGCTTCCGTATGCATTCCCCTTACCAGTCACAAGGCTGATGTCTCTTGCCACATAAACAGTTTCAAAATCAGTGAAACACAGCAAGCTAAAGCTAACTCAGCCTAACTAAAGGCTAGCAAGCTAGATTACCTCTGTAGCTGCCTGTCGCCCATTCATTCATCCATACTTCAACATTGGTTCGTCCGTTTGTTTGTTTACGCAGTTTTGTCTGTCCATTTGTTCATTTGTCCACCCATTCATCTGCATGTCTGTTTGTATGCGGCTTTTTAGTGATTTTAGTTCTGTATGAGTGGCAGAGCAGGCTAGGAGTGTTGGATAAAGTGCAGTCAATCAAGCTGCTCTTCAGCCACACCCACACAGTTCTTAGGTCTGAACAGTGGTTTAACACATCTTTCATATTTATATCTTATATTCATTCATTCTCTGCTGAATGTTTAACATAACTCAAGTTTAGTATCACAGAAACATTTTTTATATTTTACTTTGTGTTCCCCGGGACTTTAAACAGTGGTGTGCAGAAATAACACAAGATCCTTTTTCAGTGCTCCGTGCTGGGGATATTATCTTTCCTCTAGGGCCCGATGGACAAGGGAGATGCATAAAAGTGTACTTCACAGCTATTTTGCATGTCATGAGCTTTGAGGGGAAAGCAATGGAACAGAACAGAACAGAAGACTTTTGGAGTAGTAATCAGTGTCATGGTCGAAGCTATAGATGGGGAAAGCAATCACTAACTGGCACCTAATACATAATACAGAAATCACTGGATAATGATTACTTTGGTGCAGTCCAGTAGGAGACTGACAGTTCCAGCTGGTGTATAGCATAGTGCAGTGGTCTCCATCCCTCCTCCTGGAGATCTGTTTTCCTGCAAAGTTTTAGTTCCCACATCTAACACACTGTCCCCTCCCCATGCCTATATAAATGCATCTAATCCAGCCGATCAAGGACTTCTGAAGATGTTGATTAACTGGAGAAGATGTGGCAAAATAAGGTTCGATCTAGACCCTAGATCTTCAGGACTAGTGTTGGGGACAACTGGCATAGTGGAATGGGGCTTCTGAGGCATACAAGGAAGTGTGTATCCTATAAACACCTCACTCATACTCAAACCAATTTGGCTTCCTTGAAAGTCAGTCCCTTCTACTGTCTCTAGTGTTTCGTTCAGACTAATCGATTGCTAATATTCAGACCCTCATGAAGACCATAACCAAGTTAGAAGTGCTGGATTACAAATGAAACTAAACTATGCAGGTAGACAGATCAGAATGAATCACTTGATGAGCAGAGTTTAGTACCTGTAGGTTCCAGTTTCATCAGTGAGAACAGTGATCAGTGACTCTGTAGCGCCGCTCTCTTTAATGGAGATCTCAACACCCTCCAGTTCAGGAAACACTTGTCCTTGCAGAAACAGCCCTGCTCGGCCCGTAATCTCCACCATCTGCCCTGGACAGCTCTCTGGAAATGCAAAGAAAGCAAGGATGGGTCTTCTCCTGAGAGTCTGGGGCCATGTACTTACATGTTATTAAACATACTAATCATGTTTTATACATATGTAGTGCTTTGACTCAAACCTCCGGTGATGGTAGCCTCCACTTCAGGTGGGTAAAAAAGAAGCTCTTTGGATGAGGGGGTGACCGTGATCTTTTCCCCAGCCCTGAAAAACAGCCCATGTTTCGTCTTTTATAAAGTTGTAACAAAATCTACAAAATAGTAAATTCGTAGGAGTCAGAAAAACATTCTCACCACAATTTCTATTGGCCGATAAAATGCATTAATCGTGTTTTTGTTTTTTAAATAAAAGAAAAAGAGGAAAAAAGAGAAAAACAAAAAGAAAAAACAGCTCTAGTTTAAACATCAAAGCTAATTCTAGAACCATGTCTGTAATGCATATTCACTGAGAAGGGGAACAGCAGTCAGTCAGTTTTAAAGCTCTTACCGTGCCCAGTAGGAGAACTCATAGTGGAAAGGCTCATGGAGCTCATCTGGTTTCTCTTCCACAGGTGAGCTCTGCTCCTCTCCTCTCTCCTCTCTCTCTTTCCTGCGAGATGCGATCTCCAGCAGCTGCTGCTCCCGCCGCTGCTCCTCCGATGAGCGCAAAGGACCCAGGACCAGGGCGGGCTCACTCTCAATGGACGACCTAAGGTCAAGGGGGGCACACCTTAGACTTAAGCATACAGTTCCTCTACGCTCTTTAAAGTGATAGTTTAGTAAAAGCACAATTTACACAACTTTGTCATTATAGCAAAGTAGCTGCTCAGTCAAGACATTTTTGTTGTCTGCAGTTTTCTTTTGCTTTGCACTGGAGATAAAGTAAAGTAGCTAACAAGCAACTGAAGCTAAAATTCCCCAATTAGCACTGTGAAAACTGCATTACAAACTAGGGCTGTAATCAAGACCACCTTTGTTAAGTCCAAGACCATGACTCGTCAAGACCGAGCAAAGACCAAGTCTGAAGGGAGTCCAAGAGAAAGCGAGACTGAGTCCAAATGAGAGTGAGACCAGATCAAGACCAAAACCCAAAAAAGTCCTCTTTAAGACCATGCCTTAATTAGTCTTTATCTCCTTTAATTATGCAAGTACAATTATATTAAGGTATCTGATTCTTTTCTGACAGAACTGAAAGTCAAACTAAAGCCTTTAAGTTAGCAAAACAAACTGCTTCAATCAATAATGCCACCCATGTAACATCAATAACACTTCCTGTCCTTTCAACTGCTTGGATCATCTGCACCTTGTTTTTAAGACAGTACAATACAATACAGAAACCTTATCAAACGGTTCACCCTGTGCAGCACTTTACTGCCATGTTCAACAATATCCAATCAGATTTTGCACATATGCTTTTCAAACTACTGTAAACTCCAGCCTTCCTACCCAACTAACCCAAACTACAGATATTCATAGTTAGCAAGCTAGGTGCAAATGTGTGTTTTGGCAACACTTAGTAAAACAGTAGGCTAAACATAAGGCAAGACTGTTAAATTCAGTAAAAAACATTTACATGGAACAGACATATTGTATGAACAAATGTTTTTAGCTTCCTCAGTCACGAAAGTTTTAGATTATCTGGAAACACACACTCTACTTGATATCTCTGCGACAAAAGGCCTTAAACTGCTGAATTAATAACAGCACATAATCTAGACTGCTTGATATAAGCAAATCTATTTACAGTTAAACATCACAAAACAGCAGAAATAAACCAACCAATGCGTACATGGTAGTAACCATTTAAACACACAGTGGCAAAAGGTGAACTAAAAGGTGGTGGGGAGGGGGTCGAGGTTATTTCTTACTGTGCTTTATCATACCGAATAGTTAAATGGGTTTCACAAATATTTTTATTATAAAATTCTTTACGTTTCTATCAAATTACAGCCTTAGAGCTCAGCTATATTTGCTAATGAATCAAGCTAAAGCAGCTGAGGCTCTGCTCTACTCTGGTTCAAGTCAGTGCGTGTTGCTGAGCTTTAAAAATTAGTTTTTCTTTTGAACAGTAGTTCGACTCAGTTGAAACAACAAAAATAACATCTTATATCTGGCCTCAATCAAAAACTAAATCACCACACACACACACACACACACACACACACACTAGTGCCAAATTGTGTCAATCTTGTCAAATTTTTCACTGAAATACTCCCTTAACAGAGACTAATATTTTAAATCAGCATATTTTATCCCCACTTACTTGATAGTAACTGTGACATCCAGCATCTTGTCAGTGGTGATGAGTCCAGTCATGTGGTGCCTGACAGCAGTCAGAGTTAAAATGCTGGGGGCAGAGCTGAACAAACAACCATGTTCAGGAATCAGCGACATTTATTCAATGTGTCATACATAAAATTACATCTACAAACATGAGCTTAATACAGTATATCCCATTAGAAATGTATACTTACGTGCTGTAAGTGTAATAATCCTGTTCAAACTGATGGCAGGAGCGTGGAGTCACTTTGTAAACACCTATATAGAGCAATGCAACATAAAAGACAGGCATGTAATGAACATGCTGGCATTTTAAGACAGATAAACATGTTGCACAGCTGGGGAGTAACTAAGTAAACCTGGTTTGGACAGGCAGAAGCGGTTGACTCCCTTGGACAGATTGTAGATGCCTACATTCTCAGGTTTACTGCCGTCTTGGAAGAATTCCTAGAAGGGAAAAAGGAAAAAAAAAAAAAATTGGTAAATGCAGCATCATTCTCACTGTTGTGTCAAAGAGCTCAAGAGAAGAAAAGCCTTGCTCTCACAAGGGTGATGGCGTGGGACAGGGAGCAACGCAGCATGTAGCCGGTCTGTCGGAACTCCACTCCCTCCACATCAGAGTCCAGCACCTCTACCTCCACTGACTTATGCTTCCAGCACCATTCCTCATGGGTGATGGCCACTGACAAAAAAAGCAGTTTGATATTTAAAGTACAACAGAGTCACACATGCCAACATATATTCACACAACCTGCATTCAACAGCAACACATGAAATTTGCGGCTGATGCTGTTTTTTTCTTTTTTTTTAGACTTTTTAAACTATACAGTTTTCTCCCAAACACTAAATTTAGATCATCAAGGGCCTGGGGAGAAAATGAGCAGAATCAGGAGTTTGGGAAAGCACTAAACTGGACAGTGCCGAGTTACTGCTGGGCAGGGACTGGGACAGATTTACTTTCTCAAAGCAAGAGTTCTATATACAGCTGGCTAAGGAGGAATAAGAATTCCCCTACTGGACACTTTGGCTTAAATTATCTGGATAGCTCAGAAATCATGCTTTGTGAAATACACTTTACATTCAGAATTTTAAACTGAATAATCTATTTTTTTTTAATTGAGAAAGTGTGGATATAATCTCAGTTCTTTTCCTACCTTTGTATTTCCCAGGTAGGATATTACTGAAGGAGATGCTGAGGATTTCACTGCTGCCAGAAAGCTGGATGTTCTGCCTCTCCCCCTGTCTGCTCACAGGCTGCAGAGTTACTGTCAGATCCCCACAAGCAGCTGAGAAATTGAATACTTATTATTTTAAAACCACAATAAAGAATTGATGGTGGATGGAGTAAAGGTTTAGCAGAAAGTTACATTAACGCAATTTTCCCCTTAACTCAAATGCAGTTGAACAGCCAAGGGATTTGTATAAAACTAAGGCATCAAGAGGGCTACTACTACTGTTTATACACTATATGGACAAAAGTACTGGGACACCTACACATTTTTATGACATCCCATTTTAAATCCATAGTAATTAATATGGAGTTAGTCCCCCCTTTGCAGCTATAACAGCTTCCACTCTTCTGGGAAGCTTTCTACAAGATTTTGGAGGGTGTCTGTGGGAATTTTTGGCCATTCACCCAAAAGACCATTTGTGAGGTCAGACATTGACATCAGATGAGAGAGCCTCATCCGTTCCAGTTCATCCCAAAGGTGTTCAGTGGTTCTTCCACACCAAACTCACCCAACCATGTCTTTATGGACCTTGCTTTTTTGTACTAAGGCAGAGTCATGCTGGAACAGAAAAGGGCCTTTCCCAAACTTTTTCCACAAAGCTGGAAGCATATAATTGTCCAAAATGTCTTGGTATGCTGAAGCTTTAAGATTTCCCTTCACTGGAACTAAGGAGCCTAGGCCAACCCCTGAAAAACAATCCCATAGCATTATTCCCCCTCCACCAAACCTTACAGTTGGCTCAAGGCAGGTAACGTTCTCCTGGCATTCGCCAAACCCAGATGCATTCATCAGACTGACAGATAGTGAAGTGTGATTTGTAACTCCACAGACTATGTTTCCAGTGCTTTCCGAGTCCAGTGGTAGTGTGCTTTACACCACTCCATCCGATGCTTGGCATTGTGCTTGTGATGTAAAGCTTGCATGTAGCTGCTCGGCCATGGAAAACCATGCCATGAAGCTCCAGGCAGGCAGTTTTTATGCTGATGTTAATGCCAGAGGAGGTTTGGAACTCTGCAGTTACTGAGTCAGCAGAGCATTGGCGACTTTTATGCACTATGCTCCTCAGCACTCTGTAACTTTACGTGGTCTGACACTTCATGGCACAGTTGCTGTGATTCCTAAATGCTACCACTTTTCAATAATACCATTCACAGTTGATCATGAAATATCTAGGAAGGAAGAAATTTTGCTAACTGACTGTCATCCTATTACAGTACCACGCTCAAATTCAATAAGCTCTTTAAGATGACCCATTCTTTCACAAATATTTGTAAAGGCACAGTCAATGAGAGGCAGGCAGGCAATAAGACATGATTAAAAGGTGTATCCCAATGCTTTTGTTCAAATAATGTACCTATGTGACATACTTCTGTCTGTTTTTACAGATAATAGCATGTCATACAGTGCCAGAGACCACATAAACAAGTCTATCTGAGATAAAGTGGTCTGGGGCAAGTATATGATGATTCAGGCTTTCAGCTTGCAGTATGTAAATTGCTGGGGTACATAACTTTCCATTATTACTTAGGGTAAAACAGTTTTGTAGCTCCAAAGCAAAACTAAATACGGATACTTTCAACAAACATGGCTTGGCTGATCACCTTGATTTGGACTTTCTTTTTTTGTAATAACACAAAGAACCTGCTTACCCAGACATGAGACAGAGCCAGAGACCGCTGCTATGAACTGAGTGAAGAGCAGGTCACTGAGTGGGCGATCGACCAGTGAGATATCGAGAGATTGGGGCTGTAAAGCGAGTCCAGCCTTGACCTCAGCCTCTGGAAGGGTCACCTGCGTAAGTCAAATAAAATAATAATAATAAAAAATTGAAATTATATATATATATATATATATATATATATATATATATATATATATATATATATATATATATATATATATATATATACACACACACACACACATATATACATATATGCGTATATGTGTGTGTTTGCGTGCACGCTCCTTTCCCATCATTACCTGTACACTGTAGTCTCCTGGTTTGGCTTGGAAGCAGAACGCCCCCTGATGGTCACTCTCGATGGTGCGGACCACACCCTGATCACGTCCTTGTCCAGAAAGAGTCACTTTATAACGTCCAAGATGCTTTATGCTATCTGGGAGGCGAGCAACAGAGATCTGACCACACACACTAAACCTGAGAATGAAAATTTAGATCCATTTTTACAGTCTTACAATGCACTATGGCTTTTTGTTAGCATCCATATTCTAAACCATTATTTGTTCTTATTCACTTATATTATTTCATGGTACTGTCTTGAAATTATAATGAAATCATTTAGCTAGAAAACAAATGTTAGAAGAAATTTTTAAACTTGGTTTCTTTATACAAATTGAAGTATTCCTTTGCGTTTCAGTTATCTGACAAGATTGAATGTCAACTCCTGTAGTCTTTTCCACCGTATACTTCACTTATAACCCAGTTTCCTATAACATAATATGTATACCACTGTATTATCAGAAGACTATAATTATTATTATCATCATTTTTTATTCTTGTTACTTGGGAAGGTTAATGAATATATACAAGTCCACCCCCAACACTGACCCTGCAGTGATAATGTCTGGGAGCTGGGGAGTGCTAGGTGCAATCTTCACTGTGACTGGCTCAAAGAACATGAGTTCTTTATGAGTATTGATGGTGTAGGTGCCAGTGGTCATGTTCTCCAAGCGGAATGAACCGTCTTCTTTGGTTAGCACTACAGAAAGAAACCAGAGATTAAGGGAGAGGGCTCCTTCAAAAGTACTACCGATAGTAGGGCTGGGCGATAAAACGATAACGATAAGTATCGCGATATAACTTTTCCTCGATAGAGCGATAAGACAGGTTAGATAAATTTTCGATATAATACATCATTCTCACACTTCCACGTTTTAGCGAAAGCCCCTTTGGCGTTTTCTACTGCAAAGAAAGTGACACTATTCTGCTGTCGCCAGGAGAGGGCGCACTTCCGAGTTTTTCGACTTGATTAGAGAGGGAGGAGGCCACAAGTAAAAAAAAAAGGTCGCCAAATATACTTTAGCAACATCTGAAACGTGGAGTTATACATTCCCTGTTTGAGTAACGGCGATCTGTTCTCCCGTGACCAAGTGCGAGTCACGAGATAAGTGACGTAACTGTACTGTCCTACGGTGAACTCACCTCTTTCCATGCATCCTAAAAACTTTAGCGGTGTTAAACCACATCTGCAGCGCCGTGTTACAGCGCCAAACCTCATATTTTAGTATTAGTGCATTCTCGAGCAAAGAAAGTGAAAGAAAGAAGTGGGTTAATGGGAGTTACAGGCCTGATTTAAACGAAAGTAAACTGAGGAAGCTGTGAGGTATTGGGAAGCGGGAGAGCGCTAGGTTAGCTTTCCAGGCTAGCTGTTTTTAGCTGCTGGCTAACTTGAAGCGGCGCTCCAGCACAACACAGTGAATTGATGATACGGTAGATCAAACAAGACACAAAATCACCGCTTTCAGTTTAAACATACCTAAAAGGAGGACTCTGTTTGACTGGTGCAAGAGATTCACACTGCAGATAATGCTTTTACACAGCGAACGTCAGATATTTTGCGGTTCACCCCTTAAACTACTACGATAGCATAGAGAAATCCAGTCGTCACTAGCTGGTGTCTGAATACTGTGATATGCTCTGACATGGATGTGGTAGGAGTGACAGCAGTGACCTACCGAACCGAGTTGACGTTGTTGAGAAACTAAAGAGTTTAGCACTGTTGTTGGCCACTTGTTTAGCAATTGTAACGGGGTAGCCAAGTGCTCGTCACCAAACAGCTAAAAATAATCTGTTTTCTTTCTTAAATTATGACTATTACAAAAATTGCAGTGGTGCTTTTCCAGCTGATAAAAACAGCTCAGAAACTTTCTCCCACTGTCCCAAGACAGATTTGTGAAATGTTCCACTGTTTGGTGAGTAGTTGTCATGATCCGACCATAAATGATAGTTTAAAACCACAATTAACCACCCAGGAGCAAAATCAGCCTTCAAATGTGAAAGAAATTATGATTTGACATTTATTGCGATATGTATCGATATCGAACGATATGAATTTTGTTTATCGTGATAACGTTTTTTGGCCATATCTCCCAGCTCTAACCGATAGTAACAAGAAAAGAAAGAAAAAAATAAATCAAAAATAAAAAAACACTCACAAAACATACAACATCCTATAATATAGCAATCACTGCAGTTACCTTTAATCTGGTTGTTGAGAGTTACAACTGCATCTGGAACTCCTTCCCCATCTGGGCTGTTCAAAACTCTACCCATCACTGAAAAACCCATCACTTGGAAAATTGGCTAAAAGAAAGCAGGGAGAAATGATGCATCATAAACATCATTGCCAACAACTGATAGCTCAGTTGAGTTCTAAGTCAGTTGTCTCAAATGAGAAAGAGTTACAGGATGTTAGGGTTACCTCTAGCCTCATACTGCTGTGCTCGACTCTAAAATCCAGCCGGGATGGAGCAACATCGAAAGTGATCCTTTCACCTCTGTAATATGGCACCTGCGATTTCAGAAAGGATTAGTTAGTTCTCAGCTGACTACTTATCTGGTTCTTCGTTGTATAAAACAAAACAAATATAACTCAATTATAAAAACAGCCAAGAAAAAGATGATCTTACCACAGTGTATTCACCGCTAGGCAGGCAGGGAAAAGAAAAAGTACCATCCTCACGTGACTGTGCACTGCACAGGTACACGAGTGATAAGTCATCTGACACGGCTCCATCTACTGGAGCTTTGCTGCAGCCACTGATATCCTGAGGGAAAGAAATGGAGCAGTTTGCCAGAAGCATTTTTCACATTTCATTCCAATCCCTTCTTTGTGTAGTAAAGTAAAGCACTGGAACTAGACCTGTTATAATCAACATTTCTGCACACAATTAAATACCCTAGCCGTGATTAACAATGTAATTATTTTCTGAAAGACAATTACATTAAAGAAGAAGCCTAAAATGGCCTATTGGCCAAATAACTGGGATCAGAATTATGTAAGAATTGTGACAGGCCTAACTGGGACCAGCGAAAAGTCCTTGACGAGGTTATTAACAGTCAAGCCATTTACCTCTTGTGCCATAGCGGTGGAGTAGAGGAGGAAATTAACCTCCTTCATGGGTTCACCATCGCTCTGCACCTCTCCAGAGACATCATAGCCTTTAACTACCAAGGGAGCTGCAGCTGGAGCATTGGCATTCGACACAACCATGGAGGTTGAGCTCTGTTGAGACAAACCCATAACTCTCCATTAAACAAACATTTATTACACAGTACTGTTCAAAAGGTTGGGATCACCATTCAAACATCCAGAACCAGTTAGAATAATGAACGGACTGATAAATGATTTGAAAAAGAATGGAAAAGCTGAGTAGCATTCAGAATACAGCAGAGACCCAGTTGGAATTGCTCAACATAAGAATCAGATGATTTTTGCTCCAAACAATTAGCCAATTTATTATTTTTGTCTTCTGTGTTGCACTTTTACGAGGTAAATAATGTGAGCCAGATGCACTCATGCTGTATCTGAAGCATGTCATAGCTCATTTTTTGATGCATATTAAAATAGGCAACTGATTTAACGTAAATTAAGACGTTTAACTAGTGTATTTCATGTGTTCACTAAGCACATAGAAATTGAAAATTGTTTTTCAAAAGTGATTAAGGCTGATTTTACAGTATTTTTATTTAGAGTACATTACCATTTATTAACATATTGTTCCCAAAAAAAACTTAAATATTAAATGAAACATCCAAATATACCTCTTAACATGTAGTTTATAAAACAATTTACTTAACATAACAAAAATTAAGAACACTGTCCAAATACAAATTATGGCACAGACACATATGCTGAACATCTAGATAAGGTTTTTATGCAATCTGCAGAACAGAAGCTTGGCATACCAAATACTGAAAAGTCAGGGGATCCACTATCCAATTTGGCATTTTTTCATGTGTTTGGTAGAGATTAGTGTGACTATAACAGAGGTGTTATTTTATAACACCTCTGTTTCGAAACTGCTTCGACACGTATATCAAATTGACCAAGTCATGTTATTTCAGATGTACTCCACCCATCTAGTGTCAGTTGTCATAATGTAAGTTCATATTAACATACTGA